CAAGGGAATTGGCAGCTGCCGTGAAGTTAAGGTCCTGAGATGGTGAGAGCGTCCTGGCTGATACAAGATGGCCCTAAAGTAATCACACGTTTTTTGTATACAAAGAACATGGTAGGGTCAGCAGCAGAGGACATGTCTGATGGAATCAGAGAGTGAGGATGCTACGCTGTTACCTCTGAAGACAGAAGAGAGATGATGAGCCGGGAGGACTAAGTTCCGGCTGTCACCAAGAAATCAAATTCTGCCTTGACTGAGCACTGTGAGAGTCTGTTTGAACACTAGTCCTCCAAAACGTTTTCAGAGAACAGATTTACGTGGCTTTTTGTGCCCTAAGGCACTCAGACAGGTGTCAGGATAAACATTGGAATCGATGCCCTTCCAAGGCTAGAGACTAAAATGCCTCTACTGAGGTTTGGAAGTGTGAAGAGTGGGAGCCCATGGGCTCTCAGGTTACAAGGTATGTCCTCCTTCCTGGTGGGTAAGAGTCACCAGGTAAGTGGCTCAGGTGGGCTCTGCCAAGCTCACCTTCCACCTCTGGGTACTTCATCAGCAGCAGCAGCCCGTAGCGTAGTGTCGAGCTCACCGTCTCTGTGCCAGCAAAGAAGAGGTTGAGGGTGGTGAGGACCAAATTCCTGAGGTTGAATTCTGTCTGGGGATTATTTTTGTCCTGCAAATGAGAGGGACAGGAAACAGAATCACCCTCTTCTGTCTTTCTCTTCTTATTCCATCCTCTGGCAGGACAGGCTCTGGGGCACCAAGTAGGTAGGAATGTCAAACGTGCACCTGAAGAAGGAAACAGTCCGTGCAAAGGTCCTGAGGCAGGAGTTCACCTGGTCTGTGGAGGAGGCAGTGCTGTGGAGGGGAGTGAGCAGTGGGCAGATGGGAGGGGAGGACCGTGGAGATTGGCTTGTGAGGCTTGAAAGTTTTAAGACATCAGGGTCTGTAATTTTAAACTTCCAAGCGCAAGTTTCTATAATATGAATACATCAATTTATAAAGTTGTAAGAACTTATGACACCAGGATAAACTTCTGTCTTTTTGTGTCTCTAGAATTTTAAAGCTTTACCTTCAAATTCAATTCACTTGTAAAGACCATAAATGCCTGTGCTCAAATTCTAAGGTTCTAAGGCTCTACTTCTCGACAGTGTTAAGTCTCTGGCGTTGGGCCTACAAAGATGATGACTTTACATGTCCATGTTCCTCAAATTTTTATAGTCAAAGTTATTTTAAATTTTATGTGTTTACAGTTTCTCTCTCTCATGTATAAATAGAAGTAAATCATGTCAAGCAATGTTTGCTTCCTTCTCCAATGTGTTCACTTGTGAGTGTCAACGTGTAGGTACAAGTTATAGCAACGACCTACGTGCCAGTGACCAATGAATGTGCCCAGAAGATGTGGTGCTTATGCACAGCGGGCACTATGAGCTCGTGTTGGAAAAGATGCATCTTGTCATTTCCAGCAACATGGAAATCTTTCCCCTGACTTGTTTCACTTAAAGGCACTCTCTCCTGCGCCAGCTCGTGGCTGCACTTGGCTAGGTTTCAGGGCGTTCAGCGAAGTAAGTGAGAAGTAGGAAGTAAGTAACAAATGCGAGGTGACTCCTTGGTGGACTATGAAGCAACAGTACACACGAACAGGCCAACCACAACAAACCCTAGAAATGTGAAGACAGAATTGAGGCTACAGATGGGGAATGTTGGGATGTGGTCAGACAGGGGAAGGGGCCCAATAGTAGCTAATGGAGGACTGTGGGTGCTGCGGGGTGGGTATAGTGTGGTAACTTCACATGAAGAGGTGTGTACTGATAGCGCTAAGTCATACAACTATCATAAACCAGTATTGTCCCCCAAAAAATAATGGCATCATTTAAACAAACTGGTAGAGCTGCAGGTGTTAGGAATTGAGGTGATGGGAGGAGGGGATGCAGAGGAGGAAGTGGTACCTGGTGCATCTTGATCAGGAAACAGTCAATGAAGTCCCGAGGGTTCTGTGGGTCAAAGGACTCTTCATTGACCTTGACCCTGGAGGCGACGAAGTCCTTGAGCTCCTCTATTAAATAGTAGATGCGGTTGTGTCTTCCCGGCAAGTACTGCATGACGCCAGAATACATGTCGTAGAGCTGTGGGCAACCGGGCACAGTGGCATCAGTGGTGGGCTTCGTGGGCCAGGACGGGCCGAGTCTGTCAAGCAGCTGGGATCATGCCAGCCGTGGGTCTAAGATGGGACGAGTCCCTATCTCCTTCTGGGAGGTACTTGCCTCCCAGGGCTGGGGGTTAGGCTAGGTATAGGCATAAGCATCGACTAGCTGCGGTGGTGGGTGGAGGGGTGTGCTGAGGGGTGTGAGGGTGGCTGTGGGCACCTGTGCCCAGGGCGTGCTCATCTCAATGAAACTCTCATTGATCATCCGCAACAGCTTCAGGAACTGCTTGTCCTCGTAGTCGAAGCGACTTCCGAAGACCACAGAACTGATGACGTTGGAGACGGTGCGGCTCAGGAAGAAGGTGGGTTCGATGGGGGCACCTGGGTGATGAGATTGTCTCGGTTGGCGGCCAGGATGGGGCATATGGGAAAGCCAGCCGTGCAGGCGGTGTATGCGTCCTGGCCCCGTTTATGGCGCTGTGAGTCCTGACATCTTTGCACTTGTGTCTAAAATCCCAGACTCAGACTGACTTAGCAACAACTAAATTGGTTCATGAGGGTGCAATAGAATTACTTTTCTAAAATATTTAGCCCGGTCCTTGCTCAAGAAGTGCTAGTGGAGCTTAAACATCTCTTTCTGTTCACGAGTAACTGGAGGAGAGGCACAGATTGGGGGAGAAAGTGGTGTTCAGGCCACTTTTTTTTTTTTAATGGAATCTGTATGTTTCTACCAGTGACTCCATTAGTGGAAAAAAAAAAATTAAGCTCTACCACTTGCAAAACAGGTTGCTGGCCATGATCCTGGTGTTGGGTTGTGGTTTACCACATTTGTGTTTGTGTAATATAACTGGTTTACCACAGTTGTGTTTGTGTAATAAAATTTGGTCCTGTCCCCAGAAACAAGCACAGACTCCCCCTGTTGCCTAAGTCTGCCAATCCTGTCAGGAACACACACTCCCTGATTTCCACTGATTAATGTCTCAGGACAAGTGGGCTCCAAGCGGCCATCATGTTAACTTGTAA